CATTTGTTTTTCAGAAGCAATAACAACTATCGACTGACTTCTTACCATGTTTGGGTGGGGTGGAGCCGTGGGTGGGCTTGTGCGCACATGTGGTCACACGTGTACACACCTGCATGTGTACACATGTATTATATACGGTCATACATGTACACACGTGCACATGTGTGCATTGCTCCAACAGAGATTTGACCCATTATTCCAAAGTTCACTGTAACCAATTAAGATGGGGAACATGCCTGGTAAGTCCTTTCAGAACAACAGGTGACATGATTCCTTAAGGCACACTTGCAGAAGCACACCCCAGCTGAGTTAATCTCTTGCTGTGCCCACCTGCCCATCCCCTGCTCCTGCCTCCTCCACTCCCACCCCCGCTTAAGCCACACCTGTCTCTGTGCCTTTGCACACATCCCCCATTCTAGATGCAGTGGCACAGGAAGCTCTTCCTGACTCCCTTCCAAGCCCACCCCCTACCTTTGCGGACAACTGACTCCCTTCCTCTGGGCCATACCTGCACCCCCACGAGGGTCCCCATCACAGGCCTGCAACCCGGGACCGTGCCAGTCTGTGCACAGTGGTCTCTCCACGATGCTGGCTTCCTGCGCGCGAGCAGCAGGTCTGGGTGCTAGCACCCAGCTCCGTCCTCCGCACCCAGAAGGCCCCCCAGGAGTCCTTGAGGAATGATGGAATACTCTGACTGCAATCTGCCTGTCCCAGTGGTGGGCTAATGGCAGACGATGCCACCGTGGGGCATGTGGGAATGTGTGTTTAAACTTAAAAGGAAGTTACAGGAAAAGGGGAATTCACTGCAGCCAACTCACGGACAGGTAAACCGACCTGCCCCTTGCTTTGGAGCGCCCCTTGCTTTGCTTTGCTGTTTTTGTCTAGAAATGTCATCGGAGGTTACACTGTTTCTATCTTGTCCATCACAAATTCTATGGTTTGGTGGTAAAAACACAGAAACTGGTTTCTATGCTGCCCTGGAAATCTCTGCATATAAAACAAAACAAAAAAAACAACCTTTCTCTTTGAGCCCATAAAATAAAAACCAGCATTGAGATGCTGCCTGAGATGGAAAAGTTCATGCCACGTACCCCGAGATAACTCTGGTAATTATAATAGCATATTCCTGAGTTTCGCAAACATTTGCAAAGCACCTGCCATGTGCCAGACACTGTGTGTGATTGCTGGCATGGCTCTTCCGTGGGGACCGGGGACAATGGGTCTTTTCTAGCACTGTTCATTGCTGCTGCAGGGGAGACGCTTTCTCCCTTCTCCCGTGGTCCCGTGGGGCACCATGCTGTGGCCCCAGCCTGAGGCAGGAAGGGCATTTGACCCACCTGCACAGCTAGGGGAAGGAGGGCTCTTTGGCCTTTCCACTATTCTCTCTGACTGGCGGGAGATGCACCAACCGCGGGGCTTCCAGAATCCGGGGAGCCCCAAAGGTAAGGAGACAGAGAGGCTTTCGCGGGCGGAAGGTGGGATGGAGGGGCAATAAGAGAAGAGATGTGAGAAACCGGAATTGCAACAAAGAGAGATGGAGACAAGAAGTGTGCAAAGGAAGTGAAATCAAAGAAGGTGGGGGGAGAAAATGTATGGATGGAACCAGGCGGACAGACAGGGAGCAGGAGAGCTGGAACTGGAGAAATACGCATGGAGGGAGAGGGTGCAAAGCAGTGACTTCACTACCTCTGCTGGTGTGCCTTTCTTGGGGGACCTGGGGCCCCACGGCCTAGACCCTTAAACCCAGCTTGCCACGCATGCCTTCCCTCTTCAGAGCCCCGATGTTTGGTCTACTGTCTCGTATCCTCGCTGCTGCCACTGCTTTTCCTTCTTCTCAAGGACCTTCACCCCCCGAGACTGGCTGTGGTTTAGGAGGAAGGTTTCTCAACCACTCGCCATCCTATAGCCTTTTTATTGCCGTTCAATTCAGGGAAATGAAGGGGGAATCATTCATTCATTCATTCATTCATGTATTCATTTGCCCAGTGGCAGCCTGTCAAACTTAACATCTAAAGAAAATCCATTGCCGGTGTATTAGGGCACAACTGGGGCCCCAACTCACTCTCCACCTCGTCTCCCACCACTCATCATTTTGCTGACCCTGCGTTGGGTTTCCTGTTCTTTCTCGAAAACACCAAGCGTCCTCCTCCTGCACGTGGCTTTAACACTGGTTGTTCTTTCCCTAGAATGCTCGTGGGGTGGATGTTTTCATGGCTCTCTCCTTCAATTTGTTCAGGTCTCTGCTCAAATTGACCGTCTCCTAAAAGCCTTCCCTAACAGAGCTGCTGAAAATGGCCAGGCTCTTATTTTTTTCTTCCATATCACCAACGGCTACCTAGTTCCTTCTTTCCATCCATCCATCCATCCATCCATCCATCCATCCATCCATCCATCCACATATTTGTCTTTGTCAATACAACATAAGATCCATGTGATGGGAGACATTTTCCCATGAATCTCTCATTTCTGCATGTGCAGACTATCTTTTCCTGTCCCTTTGGATAGTAAACACCCTGGGAGACAGAGAGAGCATTCCCCTCTGGAGCAAAGATCAAGAAAGCTTTCTGCACACTACAAAAGACTTGGGTTCCCTAGGCTCAAGGCTTCCCTTCTGTAATGCATAGCTGTCACCTGGTACCCCAAATCTCCATTCCTACAGGTGACACCAGCGCAGGAACATCTCGGTACTCTTGTATCCATAAAATGTGGCAGGCGAACATTTAGCTTGCAAGTAGGGTAAGATGCTTTCCTTAGGTAAACTCTCAAAATATTGCCACTGAGGTATTGGGTTGTTGGGAAAGTCCTGATGTATTTTTTCTATGTTTTTCATTGCAAAAGTGCGTCATGACTTTTCCAACAACCCAATATTTGCTTATATCTCGGCCCCCCATCCCTCCCACGCACACGCCTCAGACCCCCTGTTTCTCTGTTAGGCACAGTTCATGTCTAGGACACAGTGGATGGGAACCCACCCTCCGTGGAACATTCCAAGTCCTAACCAGGGCGCACTATGTGTCACAGCTAAGGGACACTCCCACCCGGAGGGGCCAATCTCACACTGCTCAGTCCCCCAGTTCTGCTCACAGAAAGTCACTTTAGGTAATCCCTTGACTTTTTCCCAAGGCTTGCAGGGTTTTTATTTTACTTGTGAGGGTTATTTATAGAGTGCAGAGACAAGGCTAAGAATTTACAAGGTTGTTTTCCGGTGTCCCTCTGATCCTCAGCTGTCTTGAGACCATTTGATTCACAGCACAAGGCTGTGGCTAAGGCTAGAGGGTCAGCTTGCGAGCCCCAATCACTATTTTGCCTGAATTAAACTAAGTATGTTTTTAAAGAGATATAATTATTTCCTTGCATCAGTAATAAAGACACGCGCACCAAACATTATCCCCAAAGGTTGTCCATAACTGAATTTTGATAGATCAAATTGTATTTTCTCATTCAATTACATTATAATTTTAGAGGTAATAGTATTTCTTCTCACTGATAAATGGTCTACAGTTGGGAGTGATTACTGCCTCATTCATTCTCTAAAGGTTTACTAAGTACCTCTTATGTCCAGACTTGCAATAAAGTAGGCAAACAGGTGTAATACCCTAATGGAGTTTGAACATCACACGTACCTTCAGTATAAACAAAATGCTAAGTGTTGGTATAAACAAAATGCTGGGAAGGTTTCAGAAAATGGAGTGATTGGGGAGTATGCAGCTCTCAGAGCATTGAGCACACGCCTGAATCGAGTCTGTGCCCCCACAAGTGCTTGTTTAAGTGAATGCAGAAAAGAGAGCAGACCTTCGTGGGAGATGTGATTTCCTGTAGATCTGGAGAAACAGGCAGACTGACGCAGGACCTCTGGGAACGAGTCCAATATTTTAACAAATGCATCTGAAGGTGAGGAGATGGACTTCTCTGCCTTTGGTCTCTTTATAGTAACTTTTTAGGTTTGTTTCCTTCTTCTCTGCTTTAGTACTAAGTAGTACTAGTAAAAGAATTAGTGATTCCTACCCATAGTAATAATTATGAATTCATGACATTTCTTTGTCATAACATGTTACTTACTCATTGTTGTCTCCTCTATTCCAAAGAAACAATTTTCAGGATAACTAATGTCTTTTTTTACATTTCCAAAGTAAGTTGAGAACCAAGGCCACTCTAGACAAAACTGTTGAAGCAAAGAGAACTTGTCATTAGCTGTCCTTCTCTGGGCAAAACTTGTAATCTGGGGCACAATACTTGCATTAGTAGAGACTGTTTTTGGGTCTCGATTCCTAAGGAGCCCGTAGCCTGTTAATCTATAACTAATATGCTTGATAAACAAATGGCCAAAAAATGATGAGTTGCTTTTCTCTGGTGTTACATATTTAAAGATGGCAGCCTGGGAGCAATCTAAAACTCATGGTCAAAAGCGATTCAAATAGTGGGAATTCTGATCACTGTGACAAGCTAATGGTTGAATATATTCTACTACATACATACAGGCTGCTAGATTTACACTGTCCCCTTGGAAATCATAGAATTTTAAAGTTGAAAGTGGCCTTAGAAGTCACCTAGTCTGATACTCCCATTTTAAAATAAGGAAACTGCGGCCTAAAGAGGTAAAAAAAATAAACATGTATGCAAGTAACTACACAAAAAAAACACAACTTATCCAAAGTCATGAATCAAGCCAGCAGCAAGCTCGCAGCCACCATGCGACATGAGACTAAATTCATGTCTCCCGACATGTAAGCCAGAGTTCTTAGCAATTTAAAAAAATCAACACTTATCTATTATTCTGAAATAATTTACTCTCTAATCAAGAACTGGTGTCAAACTGATAGTTAATAGGTTTCATTACATGAAAAAAATCCTGAATGTTAATTATGAACCAATTACATAGTACAATTTCCTCTCAAGATACATCAAAGAGAAAGCAATTTCCATTCTACCCAACAGAAAAGCTAGTGGTAAAGTGACTCATCTCAGGTCATGTAAAGCATCGGCCAGTGAGCTGGCATCAGGACTCATGTGACTGGTCTTCATCCTGAACCCCAGTCCTTCTCAGCTGGGTACTTATTTCTTATGATATTCCCTGTGTGTAACTTTGAAACTAGCAAGTGAATCCACGCTCACGTGTTCATGAATGTCCCCAGGTCATTGTCATCTAAGATACAAGAAAGCAGGGTGTGTGTCACCAAGGAGTTTCCATCTGGCTGGGAAGTCTCAGGGGCTATTTTGCACCCAGGGACAAGGAGGCTAGAGGTCCATATTATGTGTAAGTTTCTACAGGCGGTTTTAGGCTTCTGACCTGGCCCTCTGTACACCTTGGAGCAAACCATAACACCAGAAAAATAAACAAACCACAGCAAAGCTTTTGACTCAAGGCCCTCGATGCTCACAGATTTTCTGTCTGGCATTTTCACTCCTTTCAAACCACGTATTAATGACACTGACCTTTAGAGTAATTTGATTCTGACAATGGCACAGCAGCAGCAGAGCTCAAAGGCTGACAGCCCGACAGTGGCAAGCCAAGGCAGTAATTATTGCTTTAAATCAAAGGACGACGTGTGCCTCTACAGCAAGCAAATTCATATTAAATAAGAACTCCGACTCCGTACCCTATTGCACCCACCACCTTCCTGCAGTTTACTTCCCAGAGCTCAGCAAAATCTGCTGCCCCCAGACAGTACAGGCGCGTTACTCGCCATTTCATTTTGTCATTCAGTCTTAGGTTTGGAGGAACCCTTACCAATCATCTCCTCTAACTTCTTACTCTTAGCAGTATGAACTCTGAAAAAGGGAACCCCAGCTTGCTTGGATGCTTCCAGTGACGGGGAGCTCAGCCCCTGTGTCAGTCAAGCAAGGATCCCACCCATCTACATACTCAGGCAAGGCATTCCAGATAACCTTGGGTGATAGAGTCATAACCTCAGCCTCCTTCTCTTCAGTTTTTCTTTCTTTCCTCCTCATTCTCCTCATATCCTTCCTCTAAGTTACAGTGTTTTCTAAGTATCTATGGAGCAGGTTGGTTCTCCATTAAATGAAGGGCCACATGAAAATTGCTTTGGCCACCTAGCCCGCAGCCCATATGTACAGGTTAGAGGGGAAAAGACAAGTTAAAGACTATTTTTAGCTTAAAAGGTGCAAGCAAAATCAGTTTGCAAAAGGCTAATTGAATTTTCTGTCTAGCCATTTTTTTATTTCCCCGTGGCATTTCACTTTTTCTGGAAGAATTACATCAGGCTGGAAAATTTAGCCTTGAGTCTGTGACCAGCTTCATTTCCTGTCCCTCATGCATTTTATCAGAGAGTTAGCATTTCAACAAGAGTGGGGACTTCCCTTTCTCACACTGAGAGCCAAGATTTTAAACTGTTTTGCAACCATCACTGGCTTGTCTAATGATAAAATTCACTTCTTGAGCACTGCATTGGGCCGTCCAAAACTATCCAATCTCTTGCATCTATGGATAATACGTTGAAAGGGTGGAGCTTTTTTTGTCTGTACGTACTGGACGTCCTCCCTCATGGAGAAAAACTAATGGTCATTTTCTATAGGCACCACTAACCTACACAACAACTTTGTGCAATTAGGCAAAATATCCGACCTTTGAGTTGATGTAGCCCAAAGTTACACAACATGGCTGCAGAAGGTGACTTTGTGAGAAGCAAAAGAATACTCCTTCCTCGGAAAAGATGCTGACGCCAGGCCCTGATTTTGGCTTTGCATAATTAGCACAGGGGTGGTAGTTAAGCTAATGCTAGTTGCTGTAACAAACAAGCTAAAAATGAGCGGTGACTTTTATCACAATAAAAGTTTGCCTCTGGCTCACATTACAGTGACTCTTTGACCTCTCACAGGCAGTGGGGAGATGATGACAGAGGATGGAGAAGGCCAACCTGCGTCTTAACCTCGTCAGCCTAGGGACAACACACGTCACTACAGCTCATATTCCACTGACATGAGCCAGTCACTTAGAACCACCTGGGTGACAAGGGAAGATGGCGTTGAGAGGTATGGTTCATATCTGAGGGCTACTTTTCAGATACAAGGAGATTTCTGTGCTTGATGATTTAATAAGATGCATTTTGAGCAAGTCATCTTTGATTCAACTGTGGTTAATTTTAGGGACAATCAAAATATTGATACAAGTTCTTCACATCCAGCCTGCACCCACTTTCCAGATCTTAGTCTAACCAAATCATGGATGATAAGCACGAGTCTCCAAAAAGGTTCGGAATTCAGCCAGGTGAATCTTTTCGACAATCCATTATAATCATTGATTTATTGTCCTAGGCTCTAGGGCACAAAGATGAATATAGTGCTTCTCCCACAAAGACCTTATGGAATAATGGGAGAGACAGACACCTGACTTATGCCACATGTGTAATAATAAGGAATCAACGTTAGGATTCACAGGAGGAGAAAGGGGCTCCCGGGATCTGAAAGATTCAGGAGTCTTCACTGAAAGAAGTGACGTCCAAATTCAGTCTTGAAGGATGAACTGAAATTAGACAGGGTATCGAGAGATAGCAAGCACCCATCATGAAAGCCAAATATACCAGGTC